ATTTTATACGATAAAAAAGCCACGAAAAGTTGACTTTTGTAAATCATAGATACCAAGGTATTTTCTACAACAAAGATACATCAAAATGATCGTCTCACTGAGCTCTATAAATGCTCAAATTTTCACGTTGATAGGACATACTTCGCGTAAACGTGATAGAAATCCCATGGAAACACCCATGACTGTAATAGAAAAGTTCACAACATTAGATTATATTTTATCTTTTCACTAAATAGTTGGTATTGACCACTTTGACGAGCTCAATCTCGATAACCATTTGTTTATGAGGAGTAGCTAACATTTCGTTTCAAACTGTGATCATTGATTTTCATTATAGCAATATGAGATAAAGTTTATTTTACTAAATTTAAGTGCTTCTTTTCAAGTTCATAACAATTCGAGTTAAATATTTCTCGATATGGTTACCGTCATAAGACAGTGCAATTCTTTTTAATCATACATCAAGATTCGTATAAAACGTTTTACTTTTTCTTAGATTATTCAGCTACACGAAATCGTTCAATATCGGTTTTGAATCTAGCTTGTTGACTTAAGATACATTTAGTATGTTTAGTCATAGAACTATGTTTGTATGATATACGGTTGGTGAATGGATGATGCCATCTCTCGACGGCATTATTCTATCAGAGCAAGCCTTGTATAACCCGCTCGTAGATATTTCAGAACTTCAATCTGAATTTCAGTTTATTATGTCGACTACCTAAATCAGCATTTTAGGTTAGTAAATACATTAAAGAAGCCACCATCTCAGAAAACTCGATTTTTGTCAAAAGAATGATTTTTGAGATAAACATATAAATATGTTGCCTGTGTTGAATAATGTACGAATTCGTAAAAACAGTTTTGATTCTCGAAGGTTTTATGAATAACCTTAGAAATTATCTCGACAAATCATGATGTCTAGAGTAATCAGTAAGTTTTTTTTTTTGGTAGATTTAGATCTCCTAAATAAACAAATATTTTTCACAGGTAATTAAATCTTGCACATCTTAGAAATACACGCTTGAAATCTTCAATAATTTGAGAGTGAGGATGTGGATTTTCTTTTGTCTCACACCTGCATTCTTATCTTGTTGAATGATATAACAAATATAATGGGAATGATAGATAGTATCAGATCCCATGACATATCTCGTAGTGTACATAGATAAGCACTTCGATTGACATGTTATATATTTATGCTCTACCTAATTATATTAAAGAAAGTTTTTTTACATTTTTTTTTCACAATTTATTTTTCCAGTAATAATCGAAGTGTGGACACATTTTTTCTCAGTATACTTCATTCTAGATAGCTGTCTGTCTTCTTATCTATAGATATATGCATAATCCTTCAGGTGAGAGAAATTAATTTCTTAATTAATCGTCAATGATAGATAAGCTCTGAGTTTTTCAGAAAACCATACCAAACATATCTGGACTTTTAAAGTTTCAATAATCCAAAAAATGAAATAGAGAAAAAATTAGCAAAACACTTTCTTTCGTTCGAAATGGTAAGAAGTTCTCTTTCGACTGAAACCAGCCCGAGTTCTACAGCTCTTGATTCCTGGAAATTTCCTGAATGTAAGATATAGAGGTGTAAATTTTTTTTCATAATGTACTTTTATGAGCCGAATACCTATTTCAAATTTTCATTAATATCTCATGTACCCTATTGAAAGTAAATCTTTTTAAAGCGAGCTACCTTAAACAAAAATGTTTAAATTGACACAGACTGTTTTCTTTGTTTTTGTGCTATCCAAACTCTTTCGAAATAATCAATAAATTTATAAAAATTTTCATTAAAACTACGTATTGATGATGGATGAATAATCTGTAATAACATCCCAAACAGGTAAAAATACAAAAGCGATAAATTTTTCTTCATATTCATTCAAAATTTATCATCATTCATATACCTATTTTGAAAACCGAATGATTGTATCTTGCGCCAAAAACATTATTTATAATAAAATAGACAATCTGTATTCATAGCAAAAGTAATTTTTATTGACAAAAATTTACCTATTGAAATCGTATTAGGAAACATTGCTTTAATAGATTTTAATGTTATACTTTCAAAATCAACTCGTCTGCCCAAAAAGTCCATGCGTGTGACTGTCTGTTGAATAACTCAAGAACACAAACAGCTAGAGATCTGCGATTTTCATCAGCCGAAGGAGGTGATAAGGGAACGTCTTTTTCTCCAATATTGTATGCGACGAATTTATTTTTAAAATCAATTATTTCCTCAAGCGTGATAACGGTCTATTATTTCGATGAGATTTTGGTTTTAATATGTGACATAGATAGAGGGAGCGTGAGTGTGGGTATGGCTATTTGGTTTAGTGTGCTTGATAATCTTATCTACATTAGCACCCGCACACGATTAATTGTAGCGTAGACAAAAACAGAATCGATTTCCGTTTTAGTATCTTTGCAATAGGTGAGTTAGCCTTCTTGTTTCTTAATATTTTATATACCGTTTTATAGATCGTGAAATTCTCTATCGAATGGTATATAATAATTGGGGTTTTGTTTGATTATGAGAGGAAAAGATTTTTACGAAACTCAAGATATGTTAATATTCGCATAGAAAAGCATAGAGAATAATGACTCTGTTTGCGATAACTCAGCAATGGCTCAATGAATCATTCTCATCTTTGAACTCGAGCGAGATATTGATAAAAAAAAAACTGTGTAAAAAATTTCATCGCGATCGGACTCTCCTTTTAAAAGTTATCGTTTAAATGGCTAGCCGGCCGGACACACTGGCCGATTCTACAGTGTACTCACTTTTTGAGTACATAAAAATAAGTAATCTGATATAGAAAAAGATGTGCTTTCATTTGGGATCCTATGTTAACATATCAGTGCTTGAAATAGTGAAAGTTTTTGAAATTCTTTTAGAGTATGCTAAAAGCTAGAAAAAGTTGATTTTTCCTGTCTAGCTCAATGTGATCCATGTTTAGAGAATGTCTTGTAACTCAACGAGAGTTCATGATATAGAGCTAATATTTTGAATTTAGCATTAACGCTATGCCACCTTTCATTTGAGATACTTAAAATCAAAATCAAAAAATTTTTCTCCCTCCATGTATATATTTATTGCTCGGCTTTCTGGCAAGCCGTCTCTGAAGTGACAAGTTCAACTGTTAAGTAAGCCATGCGGTGCTTTTGAAGTGGGCAAGTATCTGGTCTCATGTGCGAACAGGAATAGTTTGAAACCCATTTTAGAAGTATAGTCATCATTTATAGAGTCTATGTTGCAGATCAATCTATACGAAAAATACAAACGGCATGCTATTAAACATGTTATGGTTTAACAGCATGGACAGCCAATTGATTAGTAGGTTCCAAATAAACATATTCAATGCTGAATTGTTCGTCCCATATATTTTCCAAAATCAAATGTGGTAGAATATCATCATTGTTGGTTGTTGTCACTTGTTTGATACGTGGATCCTTGATGAGATCTTTCAACATTCTTCCATTTGAAGGTTCACTTGATTCATCGTGTAAAATCAATTTTCAACAGTCGAACGTGTAAACATCAGACGATTGTGTTTATGCGGCAGCACCAAGAACAATCCAACCGATTGGACCTGAAAGAATAGCAGCTGTCGTACTGGACAATGGCAAGCCAGTAGTTCCAGTGACGACTGACGAAACTGCTGCAGCAGCACCTGCACCACTCATCGAAGCAACTACCGCTCCTGTAGCTGCGCCAGCTGTCACTGTGCCACCAATTGCACCTGCAACCATTCCTCCTCCTGCCGACTTAGCTACTATTGCTCCTGCTGATTCCGTTGTAGCTGCTACATTAAGAATTCCCGTTACTAAGCCAGTAAGCGCACCTGTTGTGGCGCTTATTCCAAGTATTCCATTGGCAGCAGCACCAGATATAGCAACAGCATCTCCAGTTAAAGCAACCATTTTAAAATAGACTACTTCTGTCAATTGTTGTAAATAAATTTGTAAGAACAACGAATTGAGTGTGGGTGTGGGTGCGTGTGGGTGTGGGGTGTGGGTGTGAGTGTGGGTTTGGTCCTTCTCTTTTCATCTCCACACCTCACATCCACACCCCACACACCCATACCCACACACCCACACCCACCCACACCCACCCACACCCACCCACACCCACCCACACCCACCCACACCCACACCCACACCCTTTCACCATAAACTATTTTCACTTTGAACTTTATCCGTGCAAAGTTTTAAGCCAAAATTTCAAATTCAGCTACGGAGGATGAACCTTTTCAGAATATGAATAGCTCATTGGACTCCATATGATGCATATAGTCTCGACTCAAAAGCGAATGAACACTCGGAAACGTATCTATGTTAGTGAAGAAAGATCGTCGCTAATTCTTGCATCACTCATCGGTTTTAGAATCCATTGATAGCTCCATTGATTGCTGCCTGGATCTATCAAAGAGCTAGAAGCAGTACACTAAATTCGGAACTAAAAGAAAAATACCATGTGACAGCTGAGTAAGATTTGTGAATTCCACCGCAATCGAACAATAGTTCACATTGGTATTTCTTGTAGGACTTTTGATGCTTATGCAAGATCAATTATTGATCACTGTTTTGACAATAACAAAATGTTTGCAATTAAACTTCTCAAGGGTCCGATTGCAACTTTTTACAATGCTCATCCACTGAAACGTGCATGCGAGGCTAATTGTCGAAAATTTATAGCATCACCACGTGTTCAAAGATATCTGAATAATTTATGGTAAGATCTTCCATATTTAATATAGAAAAACTATTCTGTGAAAGAAAACTTTCCATGAATTTCGGAGTCCTTTCTTTGTCACAATCTTCATAATGAACATCACTTATGTGTTTTAAGACTCTTCTATATCGAAATCTCAATAATAAGCCTATATGTACAGGTTTGGTCATATCAATTATCACCTCACATGGATCGACTTTCGAGTAAATATTTCAATATACTTTTCCCTATAGAAAATGTAAAGAAGTTCTATTATTTAGGTTTTCCTCTGTACACTATTTATTCCACTTCTTCCATTTGGATCTGTCTTCTTACCCTACATGAGAAGATCTAACACGGTATTTCACATCAGAATTCATGTTATTATTCTGATATTCTTATTGTTTTTTCGTCTTTCCAGTCTTCTACAACAGTACAGCCTTCATTACGCACAAATTTTGATGCTAACACCGTCTCAACAGAATTGTAAGAATGTCGAATATCGAACATATTTATGTTGATTTGTCTTTAATAAGTCAAGGCCTTATCAACCAGTTCAACCTCGTAGTGTTCAATGGTATCAAAAGATAGGCTACTTTCATGCCGCGCCCATAGTTCGATTTTATTACAATGTAGTACGTAAATTGTATCGAATAAAATGACTAGGATATCAAAAAAAAAGAAATTTTCATTTAACTATTTAAGATATTTTTCATACTATTTCTTGGCCTATTCAGTTATGTTTACCTTGTTGATTACTTTCCGCTGAATATTTATCATGAAACTCGATCAGGCTATTATGACTTACTCGTGCCTATCCCAGAAATCATGCTTCATATATGTTTATGGAGTGTGATTTGTGAAGAAACATATCAAGTGAGACATGAATCATATAATTTCTTATTCATACATTCCACATGTATCATTTCTGTCTTAGGTAGTTCGTAAGACGCTCAAAGGCAACTTCATTACTGACTTGTGGAACATACTTGCTCTTATAGCAAATTGGCCTTTATGTTGTCGGTTTCATTACACGATTCATAGTTTCTGAAGCAGTATTCACTGTTTCAAAGTAATTCATGATTGTTACTGAAAGAGCTGATGACACGAAGCGTGAGAGAGCAATTGTTAGTCACTATTGGGCTAAAACATTCAAAAGTCAAAAGAAAGATCGAAATGAAACGAAGTAATCATGAAAACAATAATGAAGAGTAAGTAAAATTAATACGTTTCTATATTTCACTTTTCATTATCTCGTTGTAGATCCATTCATATCAAAGTGCCAATAATTTAATAATTGAGTAAATCTTAATCTATTAACTATAGTTATATTTCTCTTTAGACAATACTACATTACTCTACGCTTCCAGATTACTTCATGAAAAAATTCGTCTCGTTCATCAACTCCTTATTTTAATACTTTACGCTCAGCACCTATCCCAACGATACGTTTATTATGTTCAATATTTAATAGATGTTTTGTATGAGCAAATAGATTTCTCAACTACTTCGCTGCATTTCAATAAACCCCCAGGGGTCCTTTTTTCTTCCTATTCTTTTTTCCTGAAGCGTCTTTGGTTGTCGTTATCTTCCTCTTGGTTATTGAAACTTTTATATCCGGTTAGCGCATAAGTTCTGCACGTTTGGATCAGTAGAATTATATCGCCAATATAAAACTACATTTTAAGGAAAGTAATTATATATTCTAATAGCACTCGGCATTCTCTATCACCCTATATATTTAAGTCTTGACTTGCATTTATTTGCTGAAAAATATTTCGAGTACACTGAAGACACCCTCACCCGCAGATTTTTACAAACTTCATTTTTTGTTCCTTTTTCATATGTTTTTAAAATTTTTATCTATACAGTAATCCATTTTTTTAGAAAAGTAATTGTATATTCTGAGAGCTCTTCAAATGCTCTATCATCCTGTATATTCAGTGTTGGCTTGAACTTATTTTCTGAGAAATATTTCGAACATTGTCAATGAGGGTAAGGGTGTCTTCGGTGCACTCGAAATATTTTTCAGCAAATAAATGCAAGTCAAGACTTAAATATATAGAGCGGTAGAAAATTCCGAGCGCTATTAGAATATATAATTACTTTCCTTAAAATGTAGTTTTATATTGGCGATATAATTCTACTGATCCAAACATGCAGAACTTATGCGCCAACCTAATACAATAAAATGATTGTAGGTTGATTTCCGAAAAAATTTCTGTTCTCTTTCTGTGATATACAGCGTGGTCTATCATTAGCTATGATGCACACCCTTATCCACACTCACACTCTTTAACCAATTATTTGACTTCTCTCAATATATGGTCAAAAAATAGTGTTAACTAGTGGCTTTACGTCGTTTTGTTTACTGTTGCAAAGGGTATGGATTTATTTTGATTCTTTTCATATCTTCATTTACATCCGAACCCCATATTCAAACCTAGAACTTTATTTTAAAGATCAGGTAGAAAAATAATTTATATTGATATTTGTAAGTTGACAAGCACAATAGTATGACAGACGATATACATATTTATTGTACGATCAAATTACAATAAAAATAAAAACTTTCAAAGTATTCAGTTAGAAAAAAGATTTTGAATCGTTGTATAATAACTTCAACAATTAATGATCTATTCGGATCAATGGATATTTGATTATGTTTTTTTTTTTATTGAGGCATCAAATAAATAATATTGTAAACTAGAAAAATACTATATTTCTATATAGAACGTTTACAAAATGTTATATAATTATTGATTTATTTTTTCAGAGGGTGTGGGTGGGGTGTGGATATTGGTGTGTGTGTGGGGGTGTGGTAGGGGCATAACCAGATGGAGGCTGGAGAGGCTCAGACCCCCTACGAAGACCTGAGCCCCCTACAAAAATATTTATCTCTGTCTTTGGCATCTTTAACAGCGCTCATTTGAAGAATGGGCACAGGTTTCAACTCCTCTATCTAAATTACTGTTATCTATGCTACATACAGGTCTAATTAGTTAATTGAAATGAATTGTTTGGTACAGGAAGATGAAAGCCCTTACTTGGAATAAGTTTTATTTAGTGTTCTTAATTTAAAAAAATCAAATGTCTTGGTCTCATCGAAAACTCAGCATATTCTTTCTATCGAAAAATATGCAAGATTTCCATTTGTTTCCCTAGTTTTCTTCAAGAATTTTTTCATCAAAAATGTGTATGAATATGTTCCTGACATGGATATTCTTTTTCAGTTTGTTGAATTCTATATGATCATCTAAAAGTGTCTATTAAAGCACCTTGAAACAACAGTCTGATTAGCTTTGCATTCTGTACACATGACAAAAATATTTTTATTTCCTAAAAATGAACGATGAAAATGCTTTGTCACAATTAATAAAATGGCAATAGTTTTTCATGACATCTTATGAATTCGAATTATTTTTCGTGTGATAGCTTTGACACATTCCCATAAGACTATATATTCCAGTAAACTTAGAATAGATGTAATGTTGTATAGAGACTGTCACAGTAAAGACAGTCAAAACATTTGAATCACTTTCTAGTTCATTCACAACGCAATAAATGAAGAATCTGGAACATATTTTTTGTGAGAAACATATTTTTTAAAGCTAAGTCTTCTTGCTTTATCCAAGAAAAATCCGTTTCGCCAATCAGTTACATAGTGATACTTTTTTCTAATCAATAACCTTTTTCTTTTCATTTCGACTCAAATCTGGAATAGAGTTTCATTCTTTTATTTGCTTCCAGCAATAAAGCGGTCTTTTACCGTTCGTAGTGGTCTTCTTTTTTTTTGAAATAACTATTCAGAGTCTATCCGTCTTCGGCAGTTGTGGATATGAGACAACTAACTTCGTTTTGTGTCTATCACTGGAAAAACGTAACCTCCTCCGATATCAATTTATATAGGTTTTTGACAAAAATATTTTATTTTTTTACGAAAAGTTGCGTCTTTGAGAGTACTTTCTGGCGAAACAAATATTGAATATTTTTACGTGATTATTTTATCATCAACACCAAAAACCAACGCGAAAAAGAATTTATACTACACTGTTATTATAAGAAACTCATTCCGAAAATGAGAAATAGGGTTAATGTTTTACAACAGAACGAAATGGTTCCACCACTACCTATCTCAGAGGTTATGTGCGCTAAACGGAGGAGGAGCAGAGCCCCCTATACGCCTTTTTTCTGGTTACGCCCCTAGGAT